GGTTGTGCATGTATTTGTCATAAGGATCCAATACGAGGTACTTGTACCGGAGTGTAGCGAGCAAAGCCGAACCTGAGTGTGTTCGGTACTGTTGCCACTGTCGCCGATGTAACTATACGGCAGCTGGCTACAATGGCTGGATTGACAATACTCGGTTGTGCATGTATTCGTCATAAGGATCCAATACGAGGTACTTGTACCGGAGTGTACTCTAGTAGCAAACAAAGCGGAACCTGAGTGTGTTCCAAGTACTAGTAGTGCAGTAGCGAGCAAACTGAGGAAACAGGAGACGAACGCTGAAAAAAAGCCGAATAGCATGCGCCACCATAAACATGGCTGTTTCATACGGAGGATATGGTTGGAGGTATTCCTGCCACAAGAAATTATATAGAAGTATCCTAAAAAATTGGGCCACTTTTTGGAGCTCGGGCCAAAAATCTGGTCAGTATAACCGCCGTTTTTTTGGGCGGGTAGCCCCAAAAAATGCACACTCACACAAAGCGAAAGCACAACAACAAAAAAGTCGTCTCAATGCCACCGCGAACAAGACAACGATGGAAGGGAATGGCAGCAACAGTCGCGGCAATGGCGCCAGCTGCCGCTACTCCTGCCGCTGCTACCACGACTACCACTGCTACTACCACTACCACTGCCGCCGCGCAAGTTAATGGCAATGCCACAGGTCTTCAGGCACTGAATCCAGAAGCCATGGCTGCGGTCACTGCCTTTTTGAACTCTGGGCGAGTGCAACCAGCTGTTGCAACCGGCGGCGTCCTCCGCAATCCGAATGAAAGCCAAGCCACCTCTCGCATTGTAGAGTTTGTGAATTCTGAGCATCAAAAGAGGAGACGAACTAACACCAAGACTGCCTACAACCCCAAAATCCAAGAATTCGAAAGCTTTTGCGCGCAGAACTACAAGGATGGCTTTGCCCAAAACATAAACTATGATAAGGTAATGAAGTTCATGGCCTACCAAGCATTCCGCAACCAGAAGTCAAAGGGAGGCAAGAAGGCAAAACGGAACCAGAAGATTGAGTTTGACCAAGAGGACTACAAAAAAGTCTGCCGCTGTTTCTTTGAGGATACGAACGCACTGGAGAATCCAGATTTGGAGTTCCCAACACCCACGAATCCAATCGGTCCATCACAGTTCAACACCTACAAGGCTGTTTTGCAAAACATCCACAAGCGGCAGGTCGCTCGAGGATTCTGTAACATTGGATGGGAGATGATTTGGACAGGAGACTTGCAGAACCTGAAGAAACTGGTGGATGTACGGATGCCAGCAATCAAGAAAGCCCGAAAAGATGAGAAGATTGACGGGTCTTTCGCTCCATACCAAGTGGCGCAGCACTACCCGAAGATCGAGGAGCAATTTTGGATTGACAGCGAAAAGAGTACAGCCAAGCGATCTGTTTGTTGTGGGCTTAGACACCGCTGCTGCATGCTCTACTTAACCTCAGCAGTTTTGAGGTCTGAATCGCTCCACAAAGCAGACATCTCTGATTTCTTTGGCTTATGCCCTCCCAAGAAAACGGGCGTTGATGTTCACCACATGTTCTTTCTCATCCTACAGATTGCCGAAGGCAAGACAACCAACCTGAAAAAGCAGTACGGCAGGTCGGCACGACATCGAGAGGTTACTCTGTGCTGCATTGGAGGCATCACGTTTTACCTCCAATACCGGATCTTCATCACCCAAGAATTCGTGCACATGACAGTGGAGGATTGGCAAAATCGAGACTGGTACGATATCAAGTTCCTCGCAGATTCGCACAGCATGGACAACACCAAGGAAATGGCAAGCGACACCTATGGTACCCATGTCAAAGACATTCTCAAGAAGCACGGGCTCCCAACCAGCAAGCAGCTCCACCTTGGCAGGAATGTGGGAACCAAGTTGCTCGATTTCGCAGAAGTTAATGCTGAAGAAGTGCGACAGATGGGGCAGTGGAGCATGACCGTGTATGACAACTCTTACAGTTCCAAGTTACCAATGAATGCAATGCAACAACTAGCGGGCTTCAACTCCAAGACAGGCATCTACTACAACATTCGAACAGTTATCGTGCCCCCCAGGTCATTGGCGGAACAGTGCCCTCTTGGGTTTGCGTTTGGTATGGCAGAGGCCTTGCTAGAAGCAGATGAGAACATGGCTGTTCCCACTGCTCACGAGACTTTGAAGCTTTTTTGTGACATGTGTAACATAATGTTGCAGGATGCCGCAGCAATGATGCATCTCCATCCCGAGAGAGCCCAACACCCTTTGTTTGAACTACCGGTCTTTCACACAGACGCATTTAAAGTAAGTTCAGACCAAGTGTGACTCATTTGTGAACACATGCACTAACGTTGTTTATCTACAGCTATATAAAGAGTCAATGGCGAAAGCTATTAATACCGCAACTAGTCCTCTTGATGCGAGTCTGGAGAAGGTCCTTCCTGGTGTACACCAGCGTCTTGTAGCCAACCATGATGCAACAGTGCTTCTTGGACAGACTCTGGGATCCAAAATCGACCACTTTACCCAATTTGTTGTTGATGGCATCAACCAGTTGCAGGAATCAACCACGGCTACGAGAAGAAACAGAGAAGGCAGTGGGGTTTGCCCTCGTTCGAACAGGCCAACAGTTGCTTGGTTTCGAAGAGGGGAGCGAAGAAAATCCAGTCAGTCCAGCAAGAGCCTCTCCTTGTAGACATGGCACTGCAACTGGTGCAGGTATCGACATTACAGAAGAAGATGTGGATGAGATTTTACGTGAAGGTGACTGCAGTTCTCCTCCAGCAGAAAGGCCTCCTCCTAAAATGCCATCACCAAAGGCGACTAGAGTCGTCGGCACCCACAACAGTAAGCCGGAAGACCATCGCCAATACCAGCTTCAAGTTAGGCACAGCTGCCTGCAAGACATATGGGATGAATGGTTCGGCCTTGGTCGGTTCGCTGATTCCTTTGGGGGCATAGCTGGATGCAACCAGTTGCACAAAAACAAATGGCGTCTCCACTTGAAAGGAGACTTATACTCATGCAACAAACGTCTTATTGAGGGCGTGCAGCATCAAATGAAAGTACAGAAGTGCCAGCCTGAGAGCATACTTGCCGAGTGGGATGTCCTGTTCAAGAACATGAACTGCTCTGTCGGTAATCTAGTGAAGTCTCTACAGCACCAAAAGCTTTTGAAAGTCGGTAAGCCAAGAGGAGCATCAAAGCAAGCGATTCAGAAACAACGACAACAACAACAGACAGAAGCCGGTGGTCCTTCCCAATGATATTCACTAGTTTAAATTTTAATCTTCTCGCCTTTTCTTCCTTTTCATGTCCTCTAAATCGTCTACTTTGCCTTGCATGTTCTGCATAGCGATACTCATGGAGCGAATCTCCTCTGTCAACCGGTCGATCTCTCCTTGTTGCTTCTCTAGTTGCTCTTGTTGTTTCTTCTTTTCTTCGTGCGTCCAAGCGGGACGGATCGAGCTATAATAGATGGATCGGGCTGCCCCATCAATACTGACATCACACATGCAGTTCTTTTTTCCAATTCCTTCGATGAAGACACCATCTTTTCCCTTGTAAGTACCTGCTACTACCCTCACTGGGTCCTTCCTTCGATAATCCTTCTTTACCGGCATCTCCACCTTCGAGCTTGTGTTCTTTGTTGTTGTTTGTTTTAGTGCTCGATCGGTCTTTTGATAAGCCTCGCCGATGGCTCTGTTATTGAGTTTCAGCGAGCGAATCTTTATTCTGGTACCGGTTAGGCTTCTGTTTCTTTTTACAGGTTCCCTTAATTCCGCCAGGTCACCGGTTTGGAAGAAAGGTCACCTTTTTGGCCACTATCGCCTCCAGCAACAACAGACACACCACAGCAACCCCACAAATTCAAATCAACACATCAATCAAACGGCTACTCTATGGTGAACTACACCGAAGGTACTCGGCTATGGATTTTAAGTGGAGTAAATAAGCACCGAGTTGCATTCTACAAGCGACCGGCCGGCACTGTCTACTGTTGGGTGGAACTGGAAGACTCCAGGGAAGTGAAAGTTCGCGTTGACAACACCTATCTCATCCATGAAGGGCCGCAACCAAGACCATCATATCTGAACCGAGGACGTCGATTGGGTGCCCGGATGGCCTTCGATTCCGGCAGGTACACCTCTGCAGAAATTGCTGTGGCGGGAGGATGGCACTTTGCTGGGTTTGATGTGCACCGGCAATACCGTATGATACACTACCGGATGGATGCACTGGCCGATCAACTGAGAAGACAGCACCAACCAACAACCCGGTCAGTGAATCAAGAGGAAAGCGTTGCATTAGAGGACGATACGGATAGTCTACCAGAGTTGGAAGAATAGAGTAGTAGCGTAGCAGTAAATCAAATAGAAACGTTGCCGTCATTTTTCCCCATTGTCATGTCTTTGCGGGGTAGCTTTCCTGGGTCTCTTGTTGATGGTGGCGATTACTATAGAAATTTACTGTACGACTAGGCATTTAAGTTGCCGTACCACTATGCTTTGGCATTAGGAGCGTATCGTCACTAGTTTCCGGACGCATGACTCGGTGTCCTCAACGTCACTTCTTTGAGCGAACCTCTAGTGCGTCACTCGCCATTTCAAAAATTCAAATCTAATCCCGGATGTCCCGTGCTGGGCGCGTGTCATGTCGCCTGCATCGTCTGCGCTGGCCAACTCAGACGATCTGACACGATTCCCTGCCGACTCCATGGGTCCCTTTTGTACTGTTTACGTCTATAGTAAAAGGATCGATCGAAATCTCATTACTGGGGGAGTCCTAAAATGGCGTGGAGTCCTAAAATCTATTTTGGGCAGCAAGTAGGATGCCGGTACTCCTCTACGCTCCTAACCCAATCCCAAGGAAATAGGACTCAATTTATAACAGTAAATTATTTGCACGCCAAGGGACTGAAGGTCCAGGTTGTATGGTACTAGCTAGTAGTCTACCGTACCATAATGGGTCCATACCGGTAGGTTGTTTAACTTATAAGACACTCCTCAAGGATAGCGCCTCCATACTTCCTCCTCTTGAACTCAGATAGGTGCTTGTTGCGCTGGGCTCTTCCCGTTCGAGCCGCTTTTCATTGGCCCTCTTTGCACTCACAATAAACGTGCACTGGTACCTTTTAGTTCAATGCAGTTCAATGTATACTCGCAGGCTCGCTGACATGGCGTCTATCACGAGGAAGCGGGGCTCCTGCTTTGGCTGGGCACCACATATGCGATGCAGAAGAGAGACGACAGCCCAGCATTTCGCTCTCGTTCATTTCCATCTGCCAGTCGACAACGAATGAGCAAGCTTGCGTTCTTAGACTTCGTTTAATACCAAGCACGCGGCCATGAACCCAGCGGCCATTCACTCTCTGCGAATGCAATGGAAAGGAAGTAAAACGGTGCAATTGAGTTGACACATGAGCAAGCTCGCACGTGTTCAAAGCATAGATTTCTTCATCAGACTTACTCGTTGCACATAATCTCCGACGGAGACCCTCTCAGAGAGTCGTGGACGTTCAGTAGAATCGATGGTAGAAGAGTCTGAGGAGCCATCAGAAACATGAGAGGCCACGGACGCGGTATCTCCATTCGACAACGACCGCGATGCTACCGTGGTTCCCTCGTCTGTTGCGGTGTCTCCATGCGACCCTTGTGACAATGAGTTGCACTCGTCTGTTCTGCCTTCGTCCGTTGTTTCATTCAATTGCTCTTCATCGTCAAACAAGTTCTCCGTGTGTCGATCGTTCTGGGTCTCGGTGTCGGAATCCACAGAGGCTTGTCGATCGTTCTGTGTATCCGTTTCGGAATCCACAGAGGCTTGTCGATCTTTCTGTGTATCGGTTTCGGAATCTACAGTGGCCTCTTGAGGTCCGGATGGATCCTGAAACTCAAATTCATCGTAGCCATCCCTGGATCCATTCTTGTCGTGCCTTTGATGTTCTGCCTCAAGCAGTTGGGATTCACGCCGACGTCGTCTCTTGCGCCTCCCTTCGATTGCAGGATCTACCGCTGCATCCACCAATGGCGATGCCTCTTCCAAGTCAGAATCACTAGCGCCACTTTCATCTTCTGGATTCTCCTTGCTTCGTTTGGCGCCAACGCTGATACGCCTCTTCGTCTTATTGGTTCGTAGCGGGGTACTGCTGTTGTTACCCCCTTCGGACTTGCTACTATCTTGCCCGTCATCTTCTCGTTGGCTCCCATCGTTAGCAGGAACGTAGTCGTCCCGAAGGTCAGCGGCCTCGGTGGTTCTGTTTCGTTTGTTTGTAGCTACAGCCTCGACAGCCTTGCGCTTCCTGCTCGTCCTCTGTGCGACGCTCTCTTCGTCGTCACTGTCGCTGTCGCTGTCGCTGCTGTTCCTTTCCTGGGACGCCACCTTAACTTGGCTATCATCCTTTGCGCCCCCGGTCATTGTAGTCATGCTGTCGTCATCGCTGTCATGGTCTTGGGGCAAAGCAGCCCGCTTGCGAATGCTCGCATCCAAATTTGCACGACCCTTGCCCTTCTTGTTCGCCTCCCTACCGGCTGGGACTTCTCCATCCCCGACGCTTCCTTTCTGAGAAGAGCTCGTCTTCTTGGCACTGCTTTCCGAGGTACCGGCAGCATGAGCAGGAGCCATCTTAGCGTCATCCTTTTTGTCCGCTGCAGCCTTCTCGTCCTCCGTTTCCTCGTCGTCATCATCCGAATCGGTAGCAGCAGCAGAAGCCATCTTAGTGTCATCCTTTTGCTTGGCCTTGTCAGTCTGAGTTTTGTCCAGTGCAGCCTTCTCGTCCTCCGTTTCCTCGCCATCCTCATCCTCATCCTCATCCGACTCGTCCATATTTACCGTGATGTGCATCTTTGCTGGTGCAGCTTTCTTGTTTGGGATCTCCTCTGCAGCCGTTTTCTGGTTTGCTCCTGCAGGTTCCTTTCCTGGCGTCTTTCCCTTGTCTCTAGCCATCTCGGTGGTACCACGGGTTGTGCCAACTGCTGCAGTAGTGCTCATTTTGGGAGCAGACAAACCGCTTTTCTTTGCAGCATTTCCTCGCGGAGGAGCAGACTTGCCTGAGGCAGTCGCAGCGACGGCGGCGACAGCAGTAGATCTCGTAGTACGCTTGGATGTGGCCTTGGGATTGGACTGGGATTCCGATTCCGAGCTACTAGACTCTGCGTAAGGTGATTTGGACTTGGAGTCGGATTCTGATTCCGAGCTAGACTCTGCGGTAGATGATTGCGAGTCAGACGGCGGCTCTTCATTTGTACCACTGCTATTCTCCACTTCTGGTTGGGTTAGCAGTTGACTATTGTCATCTTCGTCATTTGTCGCATCTCCATCAGGCAGTGGAACGTGATTCTTCTTCTTTTTGGTGTGTTTGGTGGCTGGTAGTAGTGACGTTTGGGTGCTATGGTTGTTTCCTTTTTCGTTATTCTTGCAAGCCCGGGTCTTTCTCACAGTGGCCCCACCATTCGCAGATGCCTTTTTCGAAGCAGCGTTCTGGGTGTTGCTGTTGGTCGTAGGATGGCGTGTGGATCGCCTGGGACGAGTCGAATCCAATGGCTCCTCCACCAACTGGGGAGTACCGCGAGTGGACCGTGTGGTTGGATCCGGCGAAGGGGAATTGCGAGTGGATCTTCGAGGAGGAGGGTCCTTTTTGGTGCTGCTAGACAATTTGACAGGTTTGGTTGGGTGTTCTTTGGGGGAGCTCTGCGTGGTTGTAGCCGTGGAATCTGCTTCATTGGTGGGCGCCGTTGGATTGTGGCGAGTCGATCGCCTGAGCGTCGCAGTCTTTTCTTGTGATTCTTTTTCCTTGTTTGTTGTAGCTTTCCTTGCGGCGGCGCGAGGGGGCCTTTTCTTGGTAGCTTTGACAGAGTGTGGTTTGGTTCTAGTCGATGTTGTAACAGAGCCAGTAGTAGCTCTCCTTTTGGCAGGCTTCTTCTTGTCATTGACACTATTGTTGCTGTTGACCACGTCGGGTTGAGCTCTTTTGCGACGACCTCGGCGATCGAGTTGAGAGTCATCACTGATATCGACATTATTCTTGTTGACCCACTCTTTGGCATTGTTAGATGCCCATCGAACATAAACAGCCTTCCTTGTTTCTTCCAGGACAAAAGCGGCATGATCTTCTTGACTAGAGTTCTTGTAGTGGATCCAAACAAACCTGGCGGAGTTCGCTGCCGGCGACATTTTGCGCTTGGACCCTATGCTGTCCGTCTCGTCCGTCATTGTTGTCCGAATGAATATCAAAGAGACAATTCAATTCTGTGACAAATTTGTGGATGTTGGTAGGCAACGGCCCTGGCGATGGATTGAAATTGAGCTTCCCTGATCAAACTACTCTACTGCATACAATCAACAACCACTACTGGCAGCTCTCAGAGGCTGAAAGATACAGGAGAAGAAGTAATGATGGCCAAGGCGGAGAGTCCATGAGGAGAATGAGGAGTAAGTTGTGTCTTTGGCTTCTGGACTGCAAAATTTGGACAACGGCGGCTTCTTTCGGCACGGCGTCCGTGTGTGCTTCCAATGATTGAGGTTTTTGCGCGTACAGGACACAGTTCTCTGGCAGGCTGGATTCCTCGACTAGCTAGTAGCTATCATACTAGCTACAGATCGTAGCTCGATACCGTCCAAACACTCACTCAGCTGCATCACTATTGTTACACTATTATTGCCATTTGGGTTATATAAGGGGGTTTAGAGCAGGGAAATTATCTACGGAAGCCAGCCGGGGCCAGGCTTAAGCAAAGAACAGTCGAAATTCAGGACTAGGTTCTGAGGGATCAGGGGCAAGAAATTGAGGACCATTACGGGGGGCAAAGGGTTTGGCTTTGCGGGATCCACGGAGACATAAATGGGTAGCTTTCACAAGGGCAATTGAGATACGGGTCTGCATGAAGAACATCATTTGAGAGTAGGAAAATTGAGTTTTGGAGGCAGTAGCAGAAGCAAGGCGTTGTAAGAGAGTCTTGGCTTGAGGGGCAAGCATGCCATCCACTGAAACAACAAAGGGGTGGAAGGAAGCGCGATTGGACTCGCACGCGTCTTTATATTTGGAAATTTTGTCGCGTTCTTGTTGGGTTAAAACTTTGGGTTGATCTTGGTGGCACGCTTGAGTTTCAGGCGCTCGAAATATATCCACCAGTATCTGGCATGGCTACCGGTAGCTACCGGTAGTAGCTAAGAAAGCCAGGATTGGGCCAAGATTGGGATGGAAGATGAAACTCCAGACCAAGGCTCAGTGGATCCGGGGATGAGAGAGAAGGGAGTCGATGCTTTGAAGTTCCGTGGGATACATGAAGCAAATGAGTAGACGAGGTCAATGGATTGCTGAACCTTCCGTTGGGAGTATAATACAAACCGCAGACTTTGAGGACTTGTTGCAGGGGTGTCTTATTACTAGCTAGCAGCCTTGGGACACTTCTTGGCTACACACAATGATCCTATACACGTGTAGTTGCCTGGATAACCTCTGGCTTGTGGCAACTCCAATAGTTTGAGAGGAGAATCGCGGGCTCTTTGACTCGGCTCACCTTTCGGGAGCACAATCTACATGTAGATACGATACAAGGTAAGTATAACAGTAGCTGAGTTTGAAATGAAAACGTACGTTTTCAAAAACGTGCGTCGATCACCGAGTCCATACCGGTACTAGTACAACGTGTAGTACCACCAGAATGGGGCATTCTGGCAGTCGACCTCTATTGAGAAGCCAGGAAGCCAAGGTAGACAACGTGCCACAGAGACGAAGGGATGATTGCAGGTGACCTTCGCCCTGAGACTCGACTCGGATGCAAATCGATGGCGGTGTCGTTTGATAATTGAACCTTTCACGTTGCATCTCCACGACACAAAAACGACCCCCAACACTTCGTTTTCGACCTGCTACGGTACGTACCTACTGCATGATTCAACCCTCCCGTCCAATGCTAGTACTCACAAAAAGGTACTTGCAACATACATTAGGTACTCCCAAAGCCACTTGTTGATTACTCTCGAACTACTCTAGAGTACCTACCCCAAGATGATTCGCCGCTCATTGCACGGAAGAGGCACAGGAAAGCAAAAACGGGCCAACCTACCAAAGGCAACAAGCTCGCACGCCAACAAAGCAGGTGCCTGGAAAGAAGCCATCCGAAACAAGCTAGAGGACGATCGTTTCAACGATGCCACGATTGTCTGCAGTGATGGCAAGTCGATACGATGCCAGAGTTTCATGCTTCGCGTGCACAGCGATGTGCTGGACGAGATGTGGAACAACAGAGAAGAAGACACGGTGGAAGCCCCCAAGTTTCGGTCGACTGTCATGGCGAGGATCAAGGAATACTGTCATCTCGGAGAAGTTACCAAACTGAATGACGCAACTGAGTTGAACTGCGTTGACGCTGCGGCAGAGATGCACGACGTGATGGACACGGTCATTGCTGCCGACTACTACAACATTGACGGCCTCGGCGACAAGTGCTTGGAGTTCGTTCGATCCTTGGTGAACGAACATCTCAACCTTGTCTTTTTGATTGCCGCCAAATACGGATTGAACTACGAGAATGAACACCGAACGGTGGTCAAGGCGACCATTCATATTGCCCGCACGAAGCTCTGCAAGTATCGCAGAGATCATTTGAACCATCCTTCGATCAGGGCTGCAACAAGCGTTCAAGATACTGATACGCTACGAACGATTGTAAAGCTTCTGCCGTTCAACACGACGTGTCCTCTGCTCCGATTCCAGTTCTTGGAGAAATGGATGATATTGTCTTCAGAGACTTTTGAAGGAAAAGAAAAGGCCCCCGAGACAGAGTCCTTGACGAAACGGTTGGTTAAAGAGATGGAGTTGCTTAAGCACATCGGTGCTATGTGTCCCAGATACTTGGTTGCCAAGGACGGACCCTTGCGCTCTTCCGTGTTGGTGGACGCCGAAGCCTTGGTGGAAGCAATTGATGCTAGCCCCTTGGAGCAGCAATGTAGAATGTTTCAGGAGAAGGAAGCGGCTGACAAAGGAGAGGACTCGGTAGTCCCCGTGGTGGAAGAAGTCTGGTGCTGATGTGCTTTATATAGCAAAACCTAACTGAAATATATTTTAGTCTAATCTCAAGAGCTGAATCTGACTGGAGGGTTGTCCGCAGGTGCAGATTAGAAGCTCCAGATTCCGAATCGTAGCACTCCATTCACTCCTTCCTCAGGCCAGCGGCGGACTGCCAATAGGGTCAATAGGGCTACAAAGAGAGGTAAACGTGTATCGGTCTTATGGGGTTTAGTGGGTATCCACAGCCCTCCGGACTCGGTTCCCATGACTGACCCAGGGATTCAAGTAACCATAGCTCTGAGTTTGTAGTTGCTGAAGTGTAACTTTCTTCAGCCCCAAAGCATGGCACATACCCCTAGCCAGCTCCAGGTGCATGAAGGGCTATCGAAAGTTGGACCGATCAAAATTCGATCGGTGGAGCCATCGGAGGTGTCAGTCATGGTGTCACGTTGGCAAAGATTGGGTGGATTTTTGGGCGCGACTTCCCTTGAAGGGCCGAGCTTGAATTTCGGTCAAAGGAGGGCATGCGTCTCGTCATGAGGATGCATGCGCGGTGTCCCGAACATGTCTCAGTTTTTGAACGACCTCCGTTATTGGAAGCTTTAAAAGACGAAGAAAAGACTTATTGAGAATATATACGTGCCTAGGGCTAGGGATTTTCGCCTGCAGCTCAGTTTCTTCAAAACCAATCAGCGCAAAATCCTCTTGTGTTTGCTCACACAAATCGACCCAGTCACAACAAGAAACTCTCAGCGTCTTTCTTCTCTCCCTCTCTGTTTCCACCATGGCCAAGACACCCAGCAAGGTAAGATTTCACGGTGAACCAGATGTGGCGACCATGGCGAAGTCCCGCCGCTAATTTTCTGCTTGTTTTGTTCTTCTCCCTACACCCACCATGGCTTTCGATTCGACAACCAGCAATCCGCCAAGACCCCCAAGAAAGCCGCCGGAGGCTCCAAGAAGTCCAAGAAGCGTACAGAGACATATTCCTCCTACATCTACAAGGTGTTGAAACAGGTCCACCCCGATACTGGTATCTCCAAGAAGGGAATGTCCATCATGAATTCCTTCATCAATGACATCTTTGAGCGCATTGCCACTGAGGCTGGTAAGCTTGCCACCTACAACAAGAAGGCCACCTTGAGCAGTCGTGAAATCCAAACCGCTGTCCGATTGATGCTTCCCGGGGAGTTAGCAAAGCACGCCGTCAGTGAAGGTACCAAAGCTGTTACCAAATTTTCCTCGGCCTGAGTGAGTTGAACCACAACCAAAACAATCTGCCAGAATTCCACGTATGTCATACATGATGGCGCAAACCGCGTCACATACTATCTACAAAATACCTCTTTGGGTCGGGTCAGGGATTCTCATTCACCTAATCGTGCGCTTTCAACGGCGCTGTAAATTATAGTCATCATTTCACAACAACAACACCTGGCTACTGTAGACTTATTTAGTGCATTTGGTCAACACGGACAATCACATGCCACGCGGGTAGTAAGTCCTCCATGTGAAGGTAGCTATCTAACTACCTTTTCTCTTCCTGTTTCGTGCATTGCCGAAATCAATGAGATTCTCAGCAAAGATGATTCGATTCGATTCGATTCTGTCCCACCCATCCCAAAAGATCAGTTTTTCTCTGGATCTGCAGGCCCTTCCTCGCTGGCCCGCAAACTGACTTCAACGTTGATGAGATCACGTTATCTTAAGAGTGAACACCAGAGCGTATAAAGTACTTCAGGCTGACTTTAGGTGTGTTATGAGCGGATCACCCCGTCATGAACCTTCGGTGACGCAGATGCCTGGGCAACCTTGTGGGCCTGCATCTGGGTGTGGACGAGGCCTTGATGGGTCGAAAATTGGCGGAAAGGGCGGTATGTAGAGGAAACGAGAACGCGGCCGCGCTTCATTGGTACGAAAGGCGCCGAAACACAGGTACGTGTTTCGAGCTCTATGCACCATGGTCACATCCCTCAAGACTCCTTTCACATCTTCTTGTGTTTGTGCTGGCCTCGCACAATCATTCTTGGACAGCTTTGCGAGGCAGAACAATGCCAAAATCGATGATATTCCAGCAAGCGTGTTGTGGTTGTGGATCCAAATCCACGAGGGAGGGTAATAGCTTATGGTAGAGTTCCCCGGAACAAGTGTTGGCTGGAAATTGGAAGAAAAGACAAGGAACAAGTGTGCTGTGTGGCATTGGCTAGCTAGCTAGTGTTAGTTGGCACAGTAACAGTACTGGTAAAACACATTTCTTTTATTCACCAATTAATTCTAACGTATTTGAATGATGTGGTGCTTTTCTTGATGATGGCAACAGTATCCAGACAAAGATGGATACACCATTCTCTTGTATGCAAACAAACAAAAAAGAGTCTAATACAGCCTGGAAGCCATCTCAGCGAGGGTGGTGCGTCAAGGTGTGACACCGAGCTCCTTCCCTACCAATCCAGCCAAACCAATCTGCAGCAAACACCCCACAATGCTTTCTTCCATTGGACACACCATTCAAGGTGACCAGGAGCTCAGAAAACTCTGCCTTACTTCGCTAATGATCACTGCCTAGAAAGCTCCAGCCTCAGCAAGCTCCAAATCTCCAGCAGCCATGACATCATAGACACAATGATCCTTTTGGTCTCCCCAGTGTTCGCAGACCTTCTCCGCAGCTGTCTGGGCAATCGATTCACCAAGACGACGGCCAACCTGTTTCATACTGGGCATATTGCAGGTGACCGGGTGCTGTGGGTGCCTGTGTTTGTTTTGGAAGAGCTTGGGCTCGCTTTCCAGAACCTGCCATTCCTTTCCAAAGGCATTAGCATCTGTCAGGGCAGTTCCATTTCGGGCAAGCCACTTGCCAGTCTTGTAGTCTCCCAAAAGACCCTTGCTATTTTCATACTCCAAAGGGGTAGCGCCAACTGTTTTGATGCTGAGAAGGTCCTTGAAGGACTGGAGGACAATCTGTTTGCCCTTGCCAAGCTCAATTACAAACATATCCTGCTTGGAGCTCTTCTTCTCGTGCTTGATGGTGTATTTGTCAAACATGTCCAGCTCGGCATTGGAGATTCCATTCAGCATGTAAGAACCATACTCACCAACTTCCAAAGTGTCCTCTCCAATGCGAACAGCGGCAGACTCGATGTAAGAATACTGGTTGCGTGCCTTTGTCCTGATGTGGATATCCAAGCCAGTTCCCTCATCAAACTCGGGGCTGCTGATAAAGATCAAGTCACACTCTCCATGGAAGTCATACCATTCATTCACCCATGTCTAATATGCAAACAAAGGAGACAACACTTTCTTGGTCAGTCCACAAAATTAATTCATCAACTGGGCTGATCGTAGCCTGCTGTGTCGTACCTTGAAGTGTGGGTCTCCCATACCATAAGCAGCTCGAAGCTGTGCTTCCGTATATCCCAGGGAAATGTGCAACTGGTATGTGGCACCCGTTGGAACTGGCTGGTTGCTTGGAAATCGACCCACCTTAACGAAGTATACACCAGGCGCATTGAAGGTGTAGGTCAAGTAGGAGTCATGATGGTGGTTTGAGCCAGGATCAGTTGGGCTCTGATCATCATCGTGTGCAAGGTAGTTTCCATTTGAATCATACAGAGTGACATATGCATCATAGTGGTTTGGATGTGTGGTATGGTCAATGTCAAAGATGGAAGCAATCATTCCTGAATTGGGGACCACAAATGAGTAAAAGTCATTAGTATCATCCCCAGTACCATCGATGGTTACCCAAGGAAGTGTAGCAGAGTTTGCAATTAAGCCAGCGGAGCTGTGTAACCTCGGCAGAAAGGTTTCAGTGTAGAAGCAGATACCCCTATTACTAGTAGCTAGCTTTCTAGAAGCAGATACCAGTTTTGAGGGCTTTTTTTTCAGTGCGGTCGCGCTCGATGAAAAAATACGTTAGTGGAGAAAATAGCCGTTCGACTATATGTGGCACCATGGCGCGCCTTTATCACATAGCTACGCCAAGCTAGGAGCTTCACATGCAATTAGCTGTCGCGAAGAGCCTCTGTGGGCTATTGACTGTGATGGACTTGACTGTTGTTGATGGTTGATGCCTACTCTATTGATGAGTCTGATGAGAGCGAATTGTAGGCATTTTTGTCACTGACTGTCACAGGATCGTCACTCCTCTCTGTTGTTGTGGTGTCTTCAGTTGGTGCCTCTGAATGGTCCAGCCGACGGAGGAATTTCTGCAGTTGATCCTGTGGAAGTCCTGCAACAAGTGACATGACCTTCATTCTCTCCAGTTCGAGCTCTCTGCCATATTCTGTGTCCGCCAAGTCAATGTTGGATGCAAGCGTTGCCTCCAATCGATTAATATCTTCTTGCTTTGGAAACTGCTGCAGAAGCGGAGCAACAACAACATCATTCAGCTCTTCAAACTTTGCCTTTCGAGCTCCAAGAGTTGACAGTTTCGATGGACAAGGCTTGCCAGTCTTCCCCGCAATCAAGTCTCTGTAATCATCGGATCGCATCTTCTTGTTCTCGTCTTCAAGGATTGTCATGGCCTTCTCTTGTCAGCTCCACTCTGCTTCACGAAGCTTCTTTTCTGTCATTAACTCTTGCAATTCTTCCTTCAGCTTGACACGATGATCCTTGATTAAGAAGCCATCATCATTGATTGCTGCTCCGCCGGTGACTTGAAAGATTCCTCCTTGAGTAGCGGCCTCTATGAGCTTCTCTTGCCGCTCCTTCGAGCGTGGAATTGTCACCTTGGCTTGTCTCTTCTCCACTGAGTAGGCAGGAAGCTTTGCTCGGAAGAGATTTCCATTGTACCCAGCATAGTCAAGGATATCGCAGCACATGCTATTCCTTTCCGCCATTTCCTTGAGATACGCGGCCTCCGGATCAACAGACACATCCGCAGCTCCATCAGAATCAACAACCAACTCATGTCGGATCTTCTTGTCAGCCAGCGCAGCTCGAGTAAACTTTGGATAGAGCCCAAGCTTGTTGCTCCAAGCATGCTTGATGGCATTATGGGAGAAGGCAATCGAAGCTGCATTCCGAAGCAAAGGAAAGGATGGATCCGTGCTGCGTCGAACTTCAGATCCATACACCAACAAACAAATATCATACTTGGTTAGAGTTGAGGGAACATCTTGATTGTTCTGTCGATACTCCCAAAGAATTTCCAAGTTATCGAAGTAAATGGTTTTGAAGAGGGCGAACAGCATATCCATGATTTGAAGGATGTGGGTAGTGTTTGGTGGTCCAGAGGGAAAGAGATAGATGCCGTGGCGACGCATCTCGGCCAACATATCTTTATTGGTTCTTCCGGGGCCACCATCCACAAGCAATAGCACCCTCTTGCCTGCAGTGTCGGCACAATCAACAATGACAAGAGGAAGACAGTTTTTGGATGCCCACTTGCCAAATTCTTCCTTGTTCATACCACCCTTTTTGTTTGTGCTATAGGTGTTCTGAAATGGCTTCAACTCCTCATGGAGATATGATGCCTCTGTCTCATGCATATCGAGAACAAAGCCTGAGGAAAGCCCCATGTTCTCTTGTAAAATTGCATCGGTCGGTAGTTGATAGTGGTCCGGAAGCTTGTCACCAGAAGCAAAGCAACCAGCTAACAGAGTGCACCGGAAGCTGTTTTTGCTTGCAGAGTGGACCGGTGCATCAGAAAGCCTTGGACTGAAGAACACTGCTTGTGGTTGACCACCTTTTGAGTTCTCAGTATCATCAAGACCAAGGCAGGTTTCATCAATATTGGCAATCCGTTTCCCTTGAGTCGAGTCTACCCAAATAAGCTCTCCATTAGCCTCGACGTTAACCTCATTCTTGTTGGCAAATCCATGATGAATTAGAAACTGCTTGAGTGAATCAAAATAGAGATTGATATTGGAGTACGAAGCCCACTTGTTGCGCCGTTGCTCCACTTGGTTTGGTTTTCCTTTGCCCATGACGTCTCCAAGTTCAGATTCTATCCGCTCAAAAAGATAGGGACCCTTGCGAACGTTTGGTCCTTCCTTCTTGTTAATGCAAGTGTTCACCATCCTGATCAAACGCTGTCGTACCAGCGTCTTCTTTCCAATTGATTGCTCAACTGTAACGAATGATTCAACTGCACCGCACAGAGCCTTGAAACAATGAAGCTTAATCCTGCCTTTGGGCCCCCGTCGGCGAGGAGATTTGCTAGCATCCCCTCTCTTTACACAATCTCGAATGGTTCTAGGACAAAGCTTGGGGGCAATCTCGGGGTGTTGTTGGTTCAACTCCTTGCATATCAGCTCGGCGGAGCGTAGAACGTAAGTGAATCCATCGGTTGGAGCTGCTTCCTTCTTGAGAATTTCTTCCTTCAATGTGAGCGCTGCTAGCTTGTACAGATCAGCGTATGCCTTGCGCTGTGTGGCTTATTGCTCTCTCAATGCTGCTGCTTGTCGAACCGTCATTCTCGTTTTGGATTGCTTCAATTTCTGTTCGAGCTTCCTTTCTCCCACTGCTCTTGCTGCCTCGGAGATATCTGTTGGTTGTGTCACTGGATCTGGCTCTAGATAATTTGCCCTCACGACATCTGCATACGTTTCAAATGAATTTCGCTTGCGGTAGACGCGTCGACGGAGGGCTTGATTGTTTGCTTCTGGCGACGAAAATCCAACCATTTTCATTGCTTGACCGGTATGAACTCCACCCTTCTCGTCTAGCTTCAGTATACCTGCTGCCTTGCCTATCGGCTTCTCTAAGGGCGTCGACGGAGGCCGCTTTGGCGCCATCTTGACAGGATCGACAGAGGAGACGATGCTATTCATTGTGCTGCTACTAATAACACGATCGTAACACGAGTTTATCTTCTTTATCTATTTATTAAAACTATCTAATGCTGTAGCAAGTAACTCTCTGTTAGGAGGCTCTGCTGCTCTCGTGAGATGAGCTCTTGATGATGGATGCGAAAAAAGACCACTTTGTGAGTGTTTTTGCATCCATTTCCAAGAGACCTTCTCCGACCTGCCCCGTGTGACATGGAAGTTGAAAAAAAGCCCTCTAAACTGGTATTCTAGTGCTTAGCTAGTGCTTAACTTGCACTTAGCTAGCTAGAAGCAGATTCCCCCTAGCTAGCTAGCTAGAAGCAGATTCCCATAGCAAGCTAGAAGCAGATACTCCTAGCTAGCTAGAATACTAGTTATATAGCTTTCGCTGGCTTTAGAGTTTTTCCTGGTAAAAGCAGATCCGCCTACTAGGATGCATGTAAATAGCTTTAGCACCATCCCAGGATACTTATTTAGTTTTTGCTGACTTATTTGTATTCTAACCCTACCCTTATACCTGCAGGGACCACCGTAGCAGGAAAAACAATTAAAGGGGTTGAGGGCTCTGGCAGCAAGACTGCCGAGGTAATAGGATTGTACCCAAGAGTGAAGGCAGCCACTGGGATTTGCTGCAAAGTACAAAGTAGAAGGCCAAGGTAAGGGGGAGGACATGTGATTTAGATTCAAGACAAGAGTGAGGACAAACCTGAGCAGTGTTAACGTCATTGTTGGGTTCTTGTTCTTGAATGACAGAAGCATGAGCCACTGTCATAAGAGTAAAAAATCCAGTGACGATTGAGGAAAACTTCATGGTTGCAAATGGTAAGATGGAATTGAGTGTATCTGAGGCCTTGTTGTTGGTTGAGATTGTGGGATTGTGAGATGTGAGAATGATGAAGGACTGGGATGTTACTTGAATCCTTGCATGATGCCGCGATCCGCGATCCCATCACCGTGCGAACTCCACTGATCCACCTAATAGTGTGCCTTTACAGGACGGTACAGTACCTAACTGGAGTACCCAACTGGTTTCAATGATGAGTCACGAGCAACTTGGGATCCGGAAGGCACCAGTCACGGTTTTCGCTGATATTTATGGTTTGTTCGCATAGTCGAGCACTGGGCATTTAACAACTATGCATAATCCACGGCGTCTTTCGTGACTTATTCATTTAAATAGATTTCCTTGGTTTATACCGGTAACGGGGTAGGGAAATTATCTACGGAAGCCAGGTTAACATTTACTTCCGCGACTGGGGGCGACTATGGCGACGCCAATCTGGAACTTGACGATCTTCAACCTCGTTGCTTCCTGGCTTCCTGATGGAGCGATTGACATTCTCATTCAAAGGAAAGATTCAATCATTCGATTAGATATCGCTCCACTGTGCTACAGTACCGGTACACGCCTAACTTGAGGTTCTATATTCATTGCAGCTCTGGGGTTTTCTTACTGTGCCGCACCATTTTGGACCCTCAGATTGTTTCTTCATCATCAGCATTCACGTGAGCTCCTTGCCTTGGTACCCCACCACTAGCTACATAGGTTTGCTTTTGAGATACGGGCAACGGGGGTAGCAGTGAAACCAAATGAAACAATAAAAGTGTAATAGGACGATTCGATGAAACAGCAGCGTAATGCCTTCTTTCGATTAGTTAGCTGGATGCTTTTTGAATGATTGGAACGTCTTCTGTTTGTCCTGTGGCTTCCCTGCACAATCGGGAAGCTCTTGGTGGGCGCTAGCTAGCTAGTACTACGCTGCCCCCGAAGAACAGCAAAGTGCCATTGGAGACAACCATTTCGGCCTCTGCTCGTTGTCTATATTTTATGACCGGCGTAGCCATCGTATGTACATGTACAGCTGTTCTCGTGCCTGTTGCGATTCGATTTTATTTACTTGTGAAGGTCCATCAAGGCTTCCTCCATCTCTGTTTTCTTCAGGTCGTCCTTGTTGTCTCCTTCTTGACTGTAATCCCTTGGATGACCATGCCCGGGAGCCACAACGTCCCACTCCAAGTCGAGCAACCCTTGGAGAGATTCGGCCTGAAGTTGCAAATTGTTGCCATAGCGTGGGAATCCTGACATGCGTCCCGTTCGTGTCGTGAAGGCATAATGGTCCCCCGTAAAGATAATGCCGGGTTGATCGTTGTCGGGTTTCTTCCACAGTGTAATGCTTCCGGGAGAATGTCCCGGAGTGTGTAGAATGACGACATTGGTGTCGGGATCCTGCAGGAAATCATTATACCAGGCGGCCGACGACAAGGGTGTTCCATCCAATGCATAGGCGGCCTTAGTACTGCTGGTGGATGGCACTGGCAACATGATTTCGACATCATTCAACGCTTCGTCCCGACGCCAATTGTGTCGTCCTGTATCACCGGCATGAAAGATTCGTTTCAGGGAAGGATATTCGGCAGCCCATTTGTCATGATCGGCCGTATCATCGACATGGGTCAAGAACATGTAGTCGGGTCCATTGGGGCCAGTAATTTGTGTGACTGCCTCCATGGCACTCTTGCCAAAGCGTGGTGTATCCACCAGGATCCACACGGACTGTCCCTGGAAGGTGGCTTGTACCAGATAGGGGGTGGCGCCAAAGCTATCTTCATTGTGATGACCGACATTGTAGACATTTCGGATATTGTTGTTGTCATTGTTGTTGTTGGTTGTTGTCGCATCATGATGCATTAGTGGTCGCGGAAAGGGCAATTCCAAGCCATTGACTTTGGGACTCAATGCCATTTGCCGCACCAACTCTTCATCTTGTTCCGTCCAAGAATCTCGTACGGCTTGCTTACTATTATTGTTGTCGGGCATACGATGACGTCGTTGGGCCAAAGTTTCACTGCGAATCGCGGCCACGGGACACGCTGCCATGGCGGCCCTGGCATCTAGAATTTCCTCCTTGGTTTCTGGTTGACGATGCACTATATGAGCATAATCTCGATCGGCTCTGCGAAAGACAGAAGGCGCAAAATTGGAACAAGCCGCACAGTTGATGCACTAAAAATAATGGAAGGAAGGAAGGATCATCCACGCAACAAGTAAGTGAGATGACGAGGATATTATTGCCGCATGAAACAGCCAAAGCTGCAGATCAATCTATCTGCTTCTCCACGTACCTTCTCATTGACATAGACCACACCTTCGACATTTTCTTCCAAACGCTTGGGAGCAGCATGTAGTAGTGGACTTTTTAGTGGCGCCTTCTTGTTGGCACCATGATTTGTGTTGACAAAGGCGTTCACGGCAGATTCAGACTGGATGGCTGCCAAGAGGGCACCAGTGATCCAAACCTTGTTGCAGATGTTCATGGTATGGAGAGCTTGTATGGTAAAAGAGCACACACACTTTCTCGTTGATTGGTCCTTTTTTGGTTTCTTGAGATTGAGAAAAAAGTGAGACGAACCCAACGTCCGATGCCAATGGGCTACCGTACTAACTCGACCAATTGTACCAATCGACACAAGTCTGACTTGATCGTGAAGGGGGAGGAAGCCAAGCGAAGCTATGAATGCGGTACGTCTCGATACTCTTCGATGACTAGCTAGCTAGAGAACTACATGCAGATAGATGAAGGCGTTCTGATAGAGCTGATGACAACAAGATCCAAGAAGAGAGAAGCACAAGGAAGCATAAGATTGGGATGCTGATGAGGTGGCACGGTGGAGCTTCGCTCGAGTGTCAGACTCGACTCGACTCGACTCGACTCGACTCGACTCGACTCGACTCGACTCGAATCAAGCAAGAGGATCTTCATTTGTGCCGTTTGCCGAACATTCTCGAAGAAAGAATAGAAAAGAGTGCCATCGAACTTCCAGTACTGCAGCTTGTGAAACAGTCCGTAAATTAAAGCAGTTGCGAAACGCTATTTTCTAGTACATGTATGTAGTAAGAATCATGAAAGGTCGCAAAAACTCGCGATAAAGGTCGGTCAAAAATGCACGACCTTAAAGAAGAGAAAGTCGCTTTTGTTTGCGAATTGCTCAGGAAAGTCGCTCGGGGGACTTCCAGCAAGGCACAAAGCGCAAAGTGTTTGAGCAACCGGCATCGACGCTTTCGCGGTTCGCGGTAAAATTGTTGTTTCTATGGTACTCGCGTACATATCGTTGATGAGTGACTCAAATTTACTCGCAAGCTGGTAGTTTGATACAAGATAAAAATAAATAACCAAAGTCGCGGTTCGCTCTTCGAAGATGGCTGTGGCGGCGCCCCTATGTACTTGGGAATAGACGGCACCATGACGGGGTCTCAGCTTTAATTATTCAAATCACGAAAGACGCAGTTGAAGATGCCAACTAATTTAAATAACTTGACTGGTCTACACAAAATGGCAAGTTGGTCGTGACTCAATAGCACATAAAGTAGCTTATCTAGTTAGTAAGGTGGATTCGGATTTCGGATCATTGGAGTTCGCACCGTACTGTAGTGGAGAATAAGAAGCCCATCACGGCAGCCATGCATGCAGCCATGGAGGACAGCACCTCCAACACAACAAACCTCTGCTTCATGCTCCATGCTCCATCCTTCATCCTTCTCACATCTCACAATCTCAATCCAGCAGGAAACCAAAAGGCCTCAGATACACTCCATTCCAATCTTGTTCATCTTTCCATTTGCAACCATGAAGTTTTCCTCAATCGTCGCTGGATTTTTTACTCTTATGACAGTGGCTCGTGCTTCTGTCATTCAAGAACAAGAACCCAACAATGATGTTAACACTGCTCAGGTTTGTCCTTGTTCTTGGCATCAATCTATTTTGCATGTCCTTCCCCTCACCTTGGCCTTCTAATTTGTACTCTGCAGCAAATCCCAGTCGCTGCCTTCACTCTTGGGTACAATCCTATTATTGCAAACTCTGCTACACTTCCTTGGGTAACCATCGATGGTACTGGGGATGGTACTAATGACTTTTACTCATTTGTGGTCCCCGATTCAGGAATGATTGCTTCCATCTTTGACATTGACCATATCACACATCCCTATGATGCATATGTCACTCTGTATGATTCAAATGGAAACTACCTTGCACACAATGATGATCAGTCTCCGGCTGATCCTGGCTCGCATACGGCCCTTGACTCCTACTTGACCTACACCTTCAATGCGCCTGGTGTATACGTCGTTAAGGTGGGTCGATTTCCAAGCAACCAGCCAGTTCCAACGGGTGCCACATACCAGTTGCACATTTCCCTGGGATATACGGAAGCACAGCTTCGAGCTGCTTATGGTATGGGAGACCCACACTTCAAGGTACGACACAGCAGGCTATGATCAGCCCAGTTGATGAATTAATTTTGTGGACTGACCAAGAAAGTGTTGTCTCCTTTGTTTGCATATTAGACATGGGTGAATGAATGGTATGACTTCCATGGAGAGTGTGACTTGATCTTTATCAGCAGCCCCGAGTTTGATGAGGGAACTGGCTTGGATATCCACATCAGGACAAAGGCACGCAACCAGTATTCTTACATCGAGTCTGCCGCTGTTCGCATTGGAGAGGACACTTTGGAAGTTGGTGAGTATGGTTCTTACATGCTGAATGGAATCTCCAATGCCGAGCTGGACATGTTTGACAAATACACCATCAAGCACGAGAAGAAGAGCTCCAAGCAGGAAATGTTTGTAATTGAGCTTGGCAAGGGCAAACAGATTGTCCTCCAGTCCTTCAAGGACCTTCTCAGCATCAAAACAGTTGGCGCTACCCCTTTGGAGTATGAAAATAGCAAGGGTCTTTTGGGAGACTACAAGACTGGCAAGTGGCTTGCCCGAAATGGAACTGCCCTGACAGATGCTAATGCCTTTGGAAAGGAATGGCAGGTTCTGGAAAGTGAGCCCAAGCTCTTCCAAAACAAACACAGGCACCCACAGCACCCGGTCACCTGCAATATGCCCAGTATGAAACAGGTGGGCCGTCGTCTTGGTGAATCGATTGCCCAGACAGCTGCGGAGAAGGTCTGCGAACACTGGGGAGACCAAAAGGATCATTGTGTCTATGATGTCATGGCTGCTGGAGATTTGGAGCTTGCTGAGGCTGGAGCTTTCTAGGCAGTGATCATTAGTGAAGTAAGGCAGAGTTTTCTGAGCTCCTGGTCACCTTGAATGGTGTGTCCAGTGGAAGAAAGCATTGTGGGTGTTTGCTGCAGATTGGTTTGGCTGGATTGGTAGGGAAGGAGCTCGGTGTCACACCTTGACGCACCACCCTCGCTGAGATGGCTTCCAGGCTGTATTAGACTCCTCCTTTTTCGTTTGCATACAAGAGAAAAATATGGTGTATCCATCTTTGTATGGATACTGTTGCCATCATCAAGAAAAGCATCCCAGCATTCAATGCAAGTGGTTTGCAGTTCAGATTAAAACGTGAATAAAAGAAATGTGGTTTACTAATTATTTTGTGCACTAGCTAGCTGGATAGCCAATGCACAGGACAATTGGTCCCTGTCTTCCAAGCTCCAGCCAACAATGGCATGGTACAGTACGGTTCGGGGCAGGGCACGGTAACGGTACCACTAAGCGACGACTCCATGTAAGGACCATTCCATGCATCTAGCTACTTTGGTCCAATGCGACGCGGCGGTTTTGTCAGGTCCTCATCCAATAGAATTGTTTGGAGCTGAGGCAATTGTCCCCGTTCCTGCATGTCCGCTATCCTCTTGGCACCACTGGGTGTCAAGCCCGTGGACTTTAAATTCAACTCCTGCAGTTGTGGGAGTGGCGCCTTTCCCTGTTCGAGGCAGGTCGCAATGTGTGCATCAATTGCGCTAACGACCTCATCTCCACAATTTTCGTACCAGTCCAAATCCAAGCACCCTTCGAGATCCAAAACCCTCAGGGATGTGTTGCCATGCGACAGAAGCAACTTGACACCCTTTGGAGAAATGCGGCCGGCGGTTCCTTCGTGGAGAATGGATCCCAGCCGAACTGTATGGTAGACTATTTCGGTCTCTTGTTCCTCCCACACATGCGGGCGCCGCTCTTGGTTCAAACACATGTCAATGAAATCGTCCCCACAACGACAGGACCGTAAGGATATGTAGAGCAACGAGCATCGCCTATCGGCAAAGGCATCCGCTAGTCGCTTTTGATTTTCCGGTTTCCACAATGCGGTGCTGTAATCCAACGTCAGACGGTTGGTGACACCAGTTGCAATCTCTTCCAACAACTTTGCAATCTCCGCTTCTTCGTCGTCATCATTATCATCATCTTGCCAGCAAAATATTCGAGACGTAAATGCTGGGTTGAACATGTGAACACTCCTGGCGGCTTCG